TTAAAATAGGGGTTCCTGTTTTTACTATCCCTCCCACCAGCCCCCCCCCCCCACACACACACACACAAACATTTTCCACATATCATGGCCATCTTGCATAAAAACTTAGATCTTAGCAACTTAAGAATTAGGCAAGAATCAGTTCAATTAGCTAAGGGTTGATGATGAGGGTTTCTGTTAGCTCAGGCATGAGAATATGCATTACAAATGCAGACTTTTTCTTTTGTTTTCTTTTCAGGGATATTTCGAGGTGTTTGTAAAGACATTGATCACTTTCCTGATGACGCAGACTACGAGCAGGATGCTGCAGAGTATTTACTAAGTAAGTGACAGATGAATGTATCTAACAGTGAGATCTGACAGGTCAAATGGATGATACAAATCTTCTAAATACCCTCACATTTCTCACTTCAGGGGCAGTTCGAGCCTCCAGCCTCTTCCCAATACTCAGCGTGGGCCTTCTTTTTCTTGGGGGTTTGTGTGTAGCTGCCAGTGAGTTCTACAAGTCTCACTACAATGTCATTCTCACAGCTGGTATTCTCTTTGTCTCTGCAGGTCAGACACTAACCACAGTTTCATGGAAATACAGTTGTTCCTTTTTGTCTAACTAATCTATTTAAAAAGTACTAATAAAAAGGCTAATGAGCTGCCACTTTAGATGGATATTAACTGTAAAAGCAAACATGTTTTGTGTTCTAGCTACTCCTGTTTATTTTCTTGGCTTTGGTGCTCTATCTATCTATCTATCTATCTATCTATCTATCTATCTATCTATCTATCTATCTATCTATCTATCTATCTATCTATCTATCTATCTATCTATCTATCTAGCACAAAAAAAGACTGCAAATTTGTTTATTTACAGCTTTTTGAGTGACTTAACCTTACATTAAGTCACTCCAAAGTCACAGTATAACCACAAACTTTGATAGGTCAGTGCAGAATGATGCATAACTTCACAGTATTGAATTGGAAGGAAAACAAAACTCTTATTTGTGATGTTCTTTTTCTTTCAAGTAAAAATATGAAAAATGTGGCATGCATTTCTGTTCAGTCTGACTGAGTTAATGCTTTCTCCAACCACCTTTCTCTGTAATTACATTAGCAAGTCGTGGGGTATGTCTCTACCCACTTTACACACACACAGTGAAGGTTTGCCTATTGTTTGTTGCAAAATAGCTCAAGATTACATGAACAGCATCTGTGAACATCCGCTTTCAAGTCTTGCCCCAGATTCTCCATGGGATTGAGTGGCCTGGGCAAAATATTATCACAGTGAAGTCTGGAGTACTGGGGAAGTATGGTAGGCCATCTGACCAGAGTTTCTTCTTCTACTGGTGTGTATGAATAGTGGGAAACTTTGAGTGGCACCCTCATTGACTTTCTTTTAATAATGGCTTCCTTTTCACCACTTTTCCCTGAAGGTAGTATTTGTGGTGTGTAGGACTAGTAGTCCCGTCGACAGATTCTCCCACCTCCACTGCAGATTTCTGCAGCTTCTTTGATGCTTCTCTGATTAATTGTCTCCTTCCTTAACTTGCTTGTTTTGATGGACGGCCATGTTTTGGTGGACATTCAAAGCTTGGGATATTGTTTTCAAACCTACCCCCGCTTTAAAGGGGCAGTATTATGTAAAATCAACATTTTTGAGATTTACATTGTGTTATATACTATTCCCTCATCAAAAAATACCTTTAGTGTTGCCTTGATTCCTTCATGTATGTTTGAAAAAGTTCTTTAATCTTCATGCAAGCTAGCCCTCCACTCCCTGTTATATGATTGTGTTTGTTTTGCTGAAAAACAGTGAGAAAACTATTACTGCTTTCCATGTATGTGTTCTATTATGTTTAAACAGAGGAACAAACTAAATGCATAAGCTACTCAAGTAACATCTAGTTTTAAATAAACTGGCTTTGGGTGCTTAAGTGACTTAATAAATCTGTGTGATTTATTAAGTGACACTCACTAAAATTGAGCAAGTTAATGAGAACTAAAAAATTGAGTTGGTGTCATTTAAAAAAAATTGAGTTGAGTTTGAGTATTATTTTTAAGTCAAGAAAACTAATTAGGTTTAGAGTTTGT